GAAGGAGAAGAATCTCAAGATAATGGTGTGGAAAACAGAATTGTTTCAATCTTCAACAGGATTGTAGAAGAAAATGTGCCAAAATTCAAAAAAGACATGCCCATACAAATACAAGAAGCATATAGAACACCAAATAGACAGGACCAGAAAAGAAACTCTCCACAGCACATCATAGTAAAAACACTAAATGTTTAGAACAAAGAGACAATATTGAAAGCTGAAAAGGAAAAACAAGCCACATATAAAGAAAAACCTATCAGGATTATAGCTGGCTTTTCAGTGCAAACTATGAAAGCCAGAGGTTTTGCATTTTAAAACTAGGTCTATAGCCATTCTGAGTTAATTTTGTGAAAGGGGTAAGGCCTTTCTCTAGAGTCACTCTTTTGTATGTATATGTCCAAGTTTGCATCAATTGCTGAAAATATCTTTTCTTCAGTGTATTGCTTTTGCTATTTGGTTAAAGGTCAGTTAACTTTATATATATATATATAAGCATTTCATTACAGCTTTAACATACTCAATAACAGTTTCCAGAGCAAAGATACATCTCTTCCAAAAGCACTGTAAAATTTTTAGGTTCACTGTTGAATTAATACAGTTATACAATATTATAGTCAGTATAAACCCTGTAAGACATAAAATTGAATGAGTTTTTAACCTTTAAAAAGGATCTCCGTTTCATTTTAAAATATACTGTTTCTTACAGAAAGACACATTGTTTTTGCTAATAATATTGTGATGTTGGTGCATGTGTCTCTAATCAGTATGTATCTGATTGTTACTAGTCATAATTGGTTGCACTCAGATCCTTGGGACCTGTGTATGTCTATAAAGTCATCGGGTAGATTTCAGTGGTAATGTTTATTACCTCTACTATTTAACATTATGTAAGCTTTTATTCTTCCTCCTCAAATATAATTCATTTTTTTAAATTTGTTGATTTTCGTGTATGTATATTACACAGAATATCCCAAAACATCTTATTCACCTATACACCCACTTCCCAGATGGAACCCTCCCATAGCCTCCCTCCCCCGACTAGAGCCCTTATAC